TATCGTACTTGAAGAGGCAACAACAATGATGATGAACTGCAGATCCTGCATTGTACGACTCAAATTGGACGGGTAACTGAGTCGAGCGATTACAACATCATGTGTTACATCATATTTAACATGCAACTGCAATTTGGAAAGACTTCAATGCTTAATGAAATTTCTTTTGATTCTATATTATGGAGTTAAGTAAAATTATGCAGATTAATGCTGACTTTGGCCATTCAAGATTTCTAGAGTATGACGGCATACACTTCTAATTCACAAAGAGAATTCAAGTCGAGCATTGTTACAAAATATAAGCTATGAGAGATTCAATGATCCATATGGAATGCATGAAAGAAAACCACTGATAATATTATATTAATCAATTTGGGCGAATCAATTTCTGTATTTTCAAGACATTTCAACAATGAATTAAAATCTAGCCAGTAGCAATGGTACTGCAATCGATTCACGCCTCAACAAAACCAATAAATTAAATGAAATAAATACATTTATTTGGGGATATGCAGAAGTTTTCTTAAATTTTCAGTCAAATATTCTCGAAATATTCGAACTTTTTCTGATAAATTTTACACTTTGTGAGGCAATTCATATCTTCCCAGTAGTTACTGTTATAAAAAATGAACTCGTTTTACTTCAATTACTAAAATTGACTAAAACTCATCTCATTGGATTACTGGAGAAAATTCTAGAAAAATTCACTAAAATTGGGTAATTTGAAATGCTAAATCTTATTCGACACGAGTGCTGCCTCATATGCTTCAGTACTCTTCTTGTATGAAGGTTGTACCGAATAAATAACTGGAGTGACTTCTTGTCTAGGAATATTTTCCAATCTAATTTCACTTCCACATGCTTCTTATTTACTTTATTTGCACGCATAATGAGTCTGTGAAGAAAACCCTTCGCTATCCTCATGAAAAAGCATTTACATGTAGATCAAATTCTCGAAATTGGAACGGAGACAACGAGTTTCACTTCGATTGAAACAAGCAGCATATAAAAGTGTCATTGTCGTCTATTGCGAATTGTCATCTAGCCTGGGGTTTATTAATGGTTTGCTAAATGGTTATAAATATCGTTGGATGACTACAGCAGTGATCAATTGATGAGGTTGTTGTGTAATACGTTGTCCCTCGTTATCCTTCTGACTGTCGAACAACATAAT